TAAGCTTTAAAACACAGGTGAGGAGCCTCTAAGATGTGTTCAGTGCGGGCAGTAGTCAACTGTGTATAGAAACTGTGATCTACCACAGGTAGCTGTATTGTTAAACAAGCAAATGTTAGACATATATTAATAAAAGATATCTTTAATAGAATTTAAAAATAGCTATTGCAAACTTTATTTGAAGAAAAATAAATCAATAACAATCTTCCAAAATCCTGTGAAACAGCCTAGTTCTTTAACATTTGTTTTATTACTTGAAAAGACAGAAGCAATTTGTACTGCTGGCATGTTAGTTCCCATGCTCAAAACAGTTCATAAAAGCATTCCTTTTCTACCATTTCTGATTTTATCAAAAGTGGAAATGCATATGATTGTCCTAAACTAGATCAAAGTGGGTATATGACAACATTTCAAGGCAGCCAAGAATTTTAGTTCAAATTGCTTAAGGCCTGATACGGGAAAGAAGAGATGCAATAGCCAGTAAGACAGCTAATGTGTGGTACTTTACACCTGCTTATATGACGGTTCCTTTGAGCCAGCATGATTTGTATTTTCTTCCTCAGATTAGTATCCCACCCAACCTAACATTACTAAAAACCACAACAAAAAAGTCAGTTCATAATATAACATCATAAGATCTGAACCAGGCCAATGAAGCTTTTGGGTAACCACTGAAAATACTTCTTTTTTTTTGTATGATTTGAAATTAAAGAGAATTCGAGTTCTGGTGACTCAAACATAGCACATAAGCAATCAACACTTGCTCACATCTGAAAATAAGAAGCTATCCATTGGAAAAAAAATCACCAGATTGATCTAATACAGCACACTGTCAGACTTTATTGCATAGAATAGCATTAGTGCAATGATATTTCCAAGAGGCACATAAAAATACAATATATAGAATAAGAAATAACACTGCAGTCAAATATTTTCACATGGGGAAAAGGAGAAAACAATAAAACTCAGAAGACCTGACCACTTAACTGCTGTTGTATTTTATGGATAAATTACTAGTGAAAACATTTAATTTCAAAATTTTTCTATGTATTTAGAGGACTAAACACATAAAGATGGTTTGCTGAATAAAGATTTACAGTAGAAGAAAGGCTGTAACAGAAATATTATCGCCCATTAGAATTAAAATTAAATACTCCTTGTTAGTGTTTGAGATAGAACATTTATGCCATTAGGCACCAGTTGCTTTCCAAATGTAATTTTTCCTAAAAACCTAACTGTATATTTTGAAAAACAGAACATGTATGTTTTTAAAGGCACTGTAGCAGACTGGAGCCTATACAATGGCTACGTATATACATATGTTTTCTACAGGAATCTGCTTAAACCAAACTTGGCTGTCCTGTTTCTCCTGCACTAGTGTGGCCACCACCCCTTTCACCACATGCCATTGACGTGCACAAGCCACAAGCTCCTGCTTGTGAAGTCCTTGAGAGCATGGCAGTGTCATACCATCGAGCTGGCCCAGCTGGCCCAGCATGCAGGCTCCAAGGTGCTGTAAACCTATTAGGCAGCACTTGTTCCCTGTTCTGTACAACAGCATTTGGTATGGAAGGTTTCTAGATGACACACACAGGGAAACCTGTGGAGGAAATCTCTGCTAAGATCATGGGTGGCAGCAAAGGTAGAAGTTGGGGGGTAGATCCTTTAAAATTCATTATGTTTTTGTTTTAAACTCAATTCTAAATAAATGACTATTTCTTACTGATTTAACAACATATTAATGGCACGGCACAGACCATGTCCATTGACAGCACGTGGCTAATAGGGGCATGGGATGCAAAAGAGCATACTCAGATTTCAAGGAAACAGCAACCACATAGAAATGTTTAGGCAACTCAACATGATGGCTACATCACAAAATATGTTTTCCTGGCTGCTCCTTCCCACTCCTTAAAGCTCCTTAAAGACCTTGTTCCTAAAAACTTCCTAAAGAATTTCTGCTAAAAGATTTCCTGATAACTTCAGTGGGAGCATGGCCCCTCTAACATCAAAAATTGACTTTACAGAGTAATGGGGAAAATATATATGCTGAGCTTTTCTCTAAAGATTCCTACATAATGATGAGGGGGAAAAAAGTCATTATGCCACATAATATTCTCTTTCCTCGGTTCCATTCACTGCCAACACACAATACAAAATTTGTCCTCTGCAACCCATTCAAAGCACTAGCCACAACTGCAAAGTGACTGAAGGCATCAGTATAGCAATATGAAAGGCCACCTGGTGTAAACATTTAGTTAAAGTCACACAGTGTAGAACTGTTCCTTAAAAATAGCTTAGTACAGAGGCAGATTTTGATGTCTATAATAATATGCCTGCTTTATAGAAAAAAGTAAAATAAAAGAGGATATTTGTTCACTGACTCCAACAATTTACATGACATGGTGCATTATGACTGATGCTTCTCAGCAGGGTGTGCAAGGCAGCCAAAAATCATTTAAAAATGCGTGGTTTGTCTCAAAAACAAATATAGCAGAATACTAATAAAAGCTGCACTGTCTTAAATTAGGCTGAGCAGTTTAAATCCATTTTTCTGGAAGATATTCAGGAAGCTGGGATTGCCTGCAAAATAAAACCAGTTTATCCCTACTATCTACTGCAAAGGAGCAGTTTATCTCCAGTACATCTTGTCTAGAAAATAAGCCTTTTTGTCCCAACATTAATCAGGTATTAATGTCTCTTTGAGAAGCTTTACGTATAGTAAAAAAAAAAAGTATGTGAGCTTTGGGTTCTTGAAATCATATTAAATGGACGCAAATGACATGTCAAGGTGCCCAAAGGCAACAGACCTGCTGTCATAGGTCACCAAGAAATCAAACCCACAGCAAAATACAACCCAGCTTAAAGTGTTTTCCAGATCTTACACTTGGCACAGTTCAATCTATGCTCCCATATATGAGTAAAGGATTTTAAACACAAACATGTGTTTCAGTTTGTATCTTAGTTTCTATTTGCTCTGGATCTATGTAACCAAGGCCATGACTTACAGAGGGTCAGATCCTGCATCCTGCTGACTAAGGAGTGCTTTGGATTTCAATAAATATAATATTACTTCATGTAGGTCAAAAGAGCACAGGCACTCATGTTAAGGCACTAATCAACTATCCAAGGGACTAGACGAAAAGTGCATCAAAGACAAGTAAAAAGCGTAAACTGATTACAAAGAAACAGGCCTAAGCTCTGCCAGAGAGTCAGAACAGAACCTCATGTTTGTGAAAAACATTTGAAATTCTAAATACAGCTAAAATAAAACAAATAACCCCACCTAAACTAGTTTTGTAGTTAAAAACCTATACCTCAGTATTAGAAGGCACCCAAGTTCAGGAAGTTCAGGCCTCTCTCATGCTACCATGCACTAATTTCCTTTGTGAACAAAAGTATAGATGAGCATAAAATACAAAAATATACATTTTAAGCAGTAGCAAAATGTAGATAAAAATTAGAAACTGCTCAAAAAAGTGAATGCCGTATTATTACATGTGCACACATACACACTCCGTCTCAGAAAGTTAAGAAAGAAAGGGAATCATTAGCCTTAAAATTTCTACCTCTGTTAGTTGGCTTTACAGCTATAACTTCATTTGAGTAACTAGGAATGTTATCAGCTTGGCTTCTTTGTCAAAAAGAAGGAAGCATTAGCTATCACAGGCAGTGTTGAAGAAGAGTAAGTCAGCTGCCAGACAGAGAAGACATTCATGCACTCGCTCAGGAGAAAAGCTCCAAACTCGTATATTTCCATATTCACAGAGACCTGTAATTCTCCCCACATGCAAAAAGCTGGTTTGGGTGTAGAAGTGGCCGCTGCTCTTCACCAGCACTCTCATCCACCCCACTTCAGCAAAATGCTAAAGCATACAAGGATGTGCTTAAAATTAAGCAAGCATGTAAATTCTTTTGCTGAGCTGAATGCATGTGAAGCCCATGCCTCCTAAAAACCTCCTCCACCAACCAACAAGTGGAGTTGCATGCACAGATGGCATCCAGGGACAACCAGCTAACATGACACAGAGAGCAGTAAACAGCTGTTTAGGGTTATAGCACTTAAATCATTGACAAGATGACACTGCAAACTCAAGACATACATGATGTCCCAGAGTGACATTTCTAGAAGACTTTCAAAAATCAGAAAAGGATCCAAGCAACCTTCATCCTGCTGGCCATAAGTATGCCAGCAGATACCAGCATTCTCACATGGAAAGAGAATTAGGTTTGTTTCTGAATACCCCGGAAAAAATGAAGTCTCAAACATAGACTCCATGCTTGATACATTTACAGTAAAAGCCTTTCAGAGTAAAATGCATGAGAACATCCTGAGGCCTTATTTTCAAACATGATCAGCTTATGAATTGGTAAAAAATCCACCCCACTTCTCTGTAATGATAAAAAAAGGCTGACAATTATTTGGGGCATTCAGCAGGTTGTGAATGCAGCACTTTTTGGCTCTTGCGTCAGCTCTGAAAGCCAGCTTCCTTTACTTTTTGTATTATTCCCCATGAGAGCATATGGCAAAACTCAATATTCATGCTAAGCGTCATGTCTGCAGAAGAGAACAAAGTAAGCTCTGATACCAAGCTCCTAGCACCCTGCTTACCAACACCCAATGAAGAAGCAAAGTGTCTCAGCACGGTAAACTTACATACATCCCTAAAAAAAAAAGAAAAGCATGGAAAGCTGGGGTGAAAAGGGAGTGGAAGCATGGAGCTAGGTTTGTATTTTCTCAGACTGCTTTCTCAGTAACTCTGTGCTTCTTCAGAAAATAACTTCAGTATGAAACTAACACTTGGAAAGTTTTTCCAGCAGACACTTAACAAAGTTTTCTGGCACAGCCAGAAATTTACTATATGGGCCAGCCCAGCTCTCCCTGAACACAGCAGGAGTTTGGTCACTGTAATCACTAAAGATGGGCTGATATCTGAATGTAAAATTTTCTTTGGATAATTTATGGAAACCTTGGATGTGTAACATGATCTGTTTCCTTTTTACAGCACCCAACTGCACAGCAAGTTTACATGAAGGACAAACAGCAGACAGAACAAGGAGTCCAATGAAGAGTGCTGAAGCAAGGCTGCAGAACCATCTCGGTGGCAAAGACCGCAACCCCTTTCACAGAAGTCACAAGAGGTTATACTCCGCATTACTTCTGAATTGTAGCTTCTCGCCGCTCTTCTCCCTGTTCAGAAAAGTTAGTTAACATTAGTTAATGAACTCAGAACTGACCAACAAATCAGCTTCACAAAGAAAGCATTTTTAATGGATGCACTAAACTCTAATGCAGACCTCATCATATGTTGCAAAATACTTCCAGAGTGGATGCTTAAGCCTAGGCATTAATCTTTGTTCTCCCAAAACATCAAAATGTTCTCAATATATTCAGGCAAATGCTTAGTGAAAGGCACACGTTCATAGACTTAACCTCAGCTGTTAGACCCAATCTGTTCACAAACCTTAAACATTTTAAAAAGGAATTTTGCCCTGCTTACACAGCAATCCTCATGACAAAGGAAATCAGATGCTTTACCTGGCAAGTTACAGACTATGACATTTAAGAGCTAGGTCTCTTATAATTGATGCTTTCTCTCACAATTATTTTTGGAAGCATAAGCTTCCTGAATGTGGGACAGTCCGCTTTCCTGCGGGAGATCCTGCTCCTGTATTTTGCGCCCCCATTACCTGAAGGGTTGCTACAGAGCCTAACACACTAGAAGCCTGGAAAGACATATTCATTTCAAAAACGTCAATGCATGGTACATGCTCACAGAACAAGCTTTTGCAAAGTTTCATTCCCACAGTGGGCTTAATTTTGGTTTGAAGGTTTTCATTCCAACTAGGGACACTGAAATTTCTTTTATTATTGGCATTTTTTAATTTAAATTATATTCAGTTTCAAGATATAAAAATAAAAAAAAAATAAAATGCATACTTTTACAAGCCAAAATGCTTACCCAACAGTGACACCCAACTTGCTCTGAACAAAATCAGGTAAGAGAAGCAACAGTCATTTCAATGTGCTTAGTAGCTGTGCATTTTAATCCTGGCAGATCTCCTTGCTGGCACTGCTGTATTGGCATCCAAGCCAGTTCTTTATGCCTATGCCAGCTGTAATATCTGCCACACAGACATAAGGACTCCTTAGACATCTCCTAACTCATGAATCAGACTGACACCATCACATAAAATATACACCTGCAGCTTGGGTCACCAACTGTGAGAGTGATGAAAAAGAACAGATTCAAATAAAAGCATATTCTGGCATTAGATAGGAAGGAGTTCTCTCAGGAGAGCTGAGAGTCATGGCATGGTATATTTGTTGACCAATAACATGTCTATCTACATAGTAATAGGAATGGTGTCTTGTAAAGGAATATTTGAAGCTATTTTTTTTCTTAAAGCCAAAGCTTTCTATTGCAGCTGATGACTGATTATGCCATACAAATTTTAGACCTGAAGGATATTAATTCATATCTTTAATAAAGATATGAATTTATGAATACTAAATGTATTTAAATATAATGAAAACATTTACATATGTGCATTTATATGTGACTTTTTAATACATATTAGCCTATCCAACAGCATTCTTATAAAAGACTAGGTCCTGACCTCTTATCCTAGGAAATGAAGTATGCAGAAATCCATTTTGGCCATACAAATGTTATATATTTATCTCAAATAAAAATTGCTCTAATTTGTTAAGCCACTAGGCCTTAAAACACGCTCTAGGTTAATGGACAGTATAGGTACCTCTGCTGATTTCCTATTTTAGTTTAAAATTCTGTGATTAAAAAACATTTCAGCCTACACAAAGTAAATGTGATCTTCATCTAGCTAAAGTAATGCACATCATAGCATATTTGGTTGTCTTTTTCCTTGTGCTAAAAGAAACCAACATGAAGAAAATTGCCTATGCAATCTTTTTACGCCTTATCTCAAACCAAGTCCAAATCATTAATAATGTTTCAGCTGGCTGGAGTAACAAAAACCTCTCTAATACCTTCTCTAGAAGCTTGTAATCTTTCCTTCTTTTTCATTTTGCCCAAGAGCTTTGTACATTGCTATCTTTCTCTAAAACAAACTTTACACCAAAAAAGAAACAAACAATAACAACAACAACAAACCCAAAAAAACCCACAAACCTTCAAAACTGTTTTTCCCATATGCATCTTTTTACATAACTCTAGAAATGAAAACACTGGCATTTTCTCCAGTGAAGGACTCTTAGTTTAAACAAGAAACAGATGGAAAAGCTACTTGAAAGATAATCATTAACTTAGTAAGTGAACCACAGTGAAGTTCCTGCTTCATTTTGGTAGTTTTGGGAACACACTAGGCCAGATTGAAGCCAATTTATACCAGCTGACAATTAAGTTATGACAATTCACACCAGCTGAGGAACCAAACCATTAAGACAAATAAACGTATATATGGGAAAACACTACTATTTGTGAGAAAATTTGGCATGTCAGTGTCCAAAAAGGCTGCAGTTAAATAAAAACTATTCACTACAATTTGTTTTATTTCCACAAAAAGAAACATTCTTTTAAACTTCTGAATCACTAAGATCCATTTGGAATGACTGACACTTACTAGGTTCATAGTAATCCACTATGGTCACTGAAGCATCTTGGATATTTGCCACTTTGAAGTCTCTCACAGCTGGAATATCCACACAAATGTGTGTTTCGTTTAGCTAGAAGAACAGAAGAGAAACATCTGAGAACCCCGGTGCTGGTGGTTTCATGGAAAAGGTAAGGACTTCTAGCCCAGCAGCAGTCCACTTCATTTCTGAAGACTTGGATTCAAGATGCATATAAAGATGCTTATCTCATTTGTAATTATTTTGGCCACATTACAGACTTCTTGAAATGTCTTATATATGATTTTTAAGAGGCTTAATCTACCAACCCCTTACAAATATAACTGAGTTGTACCTATCCAGTCAGTCTCACTAAAGAACAGTGGAACTATTAATTCAATGTGAATAGCAGACGTTGATTTCCCCAAAGAATACAATCATAATGTTTTTCCAAATTTAAACCAAACAATGGTAGAGTCAAGATTAACATCCCTACAAACACATTTCTTTGTTATTTTCAACTTACTGAGTCTAAGTATAGGTTGACTTTTCCATTGTCCTTTTCCATCTTCTTAACTGTATTGTCTAATGGAATGAAATCTGGTGACACAGAGAAACCACTGAGTAAGCCAACCTCCATGAGGACCATACCGCTCCTGGGAGCTGCGCCAGAACCCAAGTACCTTTTCAAAACACAAAGAAACTTTTAGTAGGAATACAGTAGACACTCTTCAAGGAAACTGATCATTAAATCCCAACTGTGGAAGCAATATTGCTTAAGAACACTTAAGAAACAAACAGAACAAAATGCCAACAGAAAATTTCTACCAATAAAGAGGTAATAATTGATTTCTCTATTATTCCCCTGGATAATTTCAATTACATATGCAAAAGCAGGTTTAACACTAAGAAAACTACAGTACATAAATGAGAGACAACACTGACACCACTAGGAGCTTTCCACTGGCATCTGTAAGTGCAGGTTTATATCACAAATATGCAGGAAATACTGCAACTAAACACATCCTTCCAAAGAAGTAATTAAGAAACCACTATAGGAATTCTTGAACTGAAATATATGTATTTCTTCCTATAGATGCACTGTTTTGCTTTTATTCATTTTTGGAGGTTGAGATAAAAGTATAGACCAAAAATGTCTCCCAAACCTTTTCATGTTTCCTTCATAGAGATTGATAGTTCCATTGACAAAATCATCATTATTATTATTTCTCAAAGTTCCAGTTTTAAAATTCAGATACATGTTATCATCCAGTTTTGGAAAAAGATTTAAGATATTGAGCTCTTTCTTTTTTCCTAAATAATACATATTATTACATCTTCTTCCCATGCAAGAATCAGATGCTGGACTAAAATGCTTTGCTCTACTGAGCAAGCCTTATATACTATGGTGCACAACAAAACTATCAAAATATATGTATGGAGTTCTGTGCCACAGATGATACCTAAATGACCTGCTAACAATTGTATTGCATTAATAAACAAGGTGGCAGAAGAGTTTCTCTCTGCCATGGCATGGAGGGTAAATTATAATTTTTATACTAGAATAGAAGTGCCTCCAATTCTCATTTTGAAGTCCTGATAGTAGTTGAAAGTAATTGAATAAAACTATTTATTTGTAGAGCTAGGTGGTTTTAAAAAAGGGAAGACTTGCTTTCAAAGCAATGCTGTTAAGCCTGGCAGCATGTCTGATTGAACCCAGATATGACTTTGAAAGAAATACTGCACGACTGCTGACTTCAGTTGGCTCATGAGATTAGAAACAAATGAAACCATCTGTTGGATGATGTCCCGTGCCAAAGTAGCTGCTATTGAAAACAAGTAACTGAATTGGAACTGGATGTAATTATTTCTGCATAATTACCAGTAAGAGGAGAGGAAAATACTCAAGCTGTCTAGCCAGCCTGGGGTGCTACCAAAATACCAACAGGTAACCAAACCAGCTTCATACCGTCAGAAAGTGAGTAAGATGTATCCCTAGAAGTTATGAGGATCTGCCTCTCTTAACAAAGAAGAGAGAGACAGCCTTGGGGGTGGCTCCTGGTATCATCTCTTCTACTCCATGGTCTCTTAAAAGTGTAAAAAAAAATTAAAAATCATCATGCAAGAATGAAGACTTGAAACTTGCACCTGAAGAGAACTGAGAATGTTTTGAGCTGAATTTTATGTTTCAGTTCTTCATCAATAGGAGATTTGTATGAGACCCTCTCACAGGTGCTGTAAAGAGGAGAAAACAACACCAAGCTAGTGTAGGCAGAAAGTGTAAACAAGAGATCGAGTAGGACCATCAGCAATCAGTTTCCCATGCCTGGAAATAGTATGCAGGCAACAAGACTGACTGGAGAAGAAACTGACAGCCCTGTGTATTTGCCTCCCAGATGGTAAGTTAGCTCCTCTAACCAAGAATCAGTTTAATGTGAAAGAAACATCATCTGTTCCAGTGTCACAAATGATACCCAGTTGAGATGAGCATGGCCAATCACTACCAAGCTGGCTGAAAGATAGTGGAATATTCTGCAGATTAGAGAAAGAAAAAAATTGCAAAGCTACAGCCTCTGTTATCTGGCTATGCATGCCAGCAGCTGGCTAAACTTGATTGAGATTTCAGCAGTCTTTCTGTATTCCTACTTCGTTTTTTCTACCAGAAAGCCACATCATGTTGTGAAGATTATAAGTAGACCAACTTTAAACTAATTCAGGAATTTAATACAGGTAACACATATATTATATACGATATATAGAGGGAGGCAAAAGGAGAGGATGACTAATTTATCAAGCCAAGAAACCAGAGTCTCAGACTAAAGAACAAAAACATATACTTACTAGAACTTATACCAGTCCACTTTCCATAATAAGAATTGATGGATCTGAATGTTCCAAATATTCTCCTAGGGAAGTTTTATAATGCCCCTAGATTTTCCCCTATCCTTTGAACACTTTGCAATTAAAACATCATCACCCTAAAGCCTTCTCAGAGAGATGGAAACCTTCCTGCATGTATTCCTGAGCCAAAGGTCAGGAAAATCAGAATGCCCAGCCAAGACTTATCCTAGACGCATTATGTAAGCATTTTGCATGTCAGGAGTTTGTGCTAGACTTTGGAAAGCTGTTGACACTTCATAGAAAACTCTAAAAGAGAACAAACCCATTCTATTTCAAGAGCTCTCATGTATTCTAGTGTCCCTGCCCACCATCTGTGTCACTAAACTGGTTACCAGAAACACATAAAAACAGGGCTCTGGCTTTGTGCCTGCTGGCTATTTCCCAAATTAAATCAATCCTCCCTGTACTGAAATCATATTCACTATAGCTGATTATTTGTATGTTGGTGTCACCTAGAGGCTCCATCTCCAGTCACAGCTCCTTTGTGTGAGGCAGAGTATAAAAATAGTGTTTAAATTTTAAATAAATATCAAAAAGAGCATGTGGAGGAAAGGAATGTAAGAGTAATCATGGTAGATCAGGCAGTAAAAGAAGTCCATCAGAATGTCACAGAAGAAAACTGTTTCTAGAAGTATGCACAAACAGATGAATCCCAAATACAAAGAATGTAGTCATCTCAAAATCCTTCCAGATAAAAGATAAATATCTGTAGAGAGATACAGTGTCCTATGGGATTTTCTGTAAAATATGCAGTGCTCTCTAACTACAATAAAAGTGCATACTGAAGAAACTGCCAGAGAACAAACATCCTCATGTATTTCTTTTAAATACATATATAAACCCTTTCACAGCAAGTAAAAGTAAGGCATCAAATCAGTCAAAGAAACAACCTAGTTTAATGACTGGCTGATCTAGGAGTATGCAATACGACTGCTCAATGTCACCTGTTCTCATCTGATCCAAATTCTATCCAGCTACAGCATGGTGGCTGTTCCATGGTCTCCGAGATGATACTTCAGCAGCCTCAGCTCAGTTCTTAGTAGATGTTTACTGAACAATTAACATCATCTCAGATACGCACACATGCTTATTCACAGAAAGAACAGAATTAGCCTGGCTGGAAAACTCATCACCTCTTTCAAATCTGGAATGATGTTGACATATTATATTATGAAATTCGTAACTATAAGACTTACTGGTAAATGAAAACCACGAAGACACTTGATAATAAGACAATACCCCAGTTGAATTTATCATTATGTAAACATGGATTTTGACTCCTGCCAAAACTGTTCTGAGCAAATTTTATTAACAGAGATGACCAAAGGCCAATTGCTTCTATTTCATGGTGTTTTCAGCACTTCAGAACTTCATTCTCTCTTAAAAAATAAATAAATAAAAAAATAGCATCTACATTTAGATAGAAAGCAAAGCATTCCGTTCATGAAAGGTAAGAGTAATGGGCAGTTGTCACAGTCTGCTACTAGAGTTTAGAATGTGGAAGACATTGGTTCAGTTTTCAAGTCTGTCCACAGTTCTCCATATAGCTAAAAAGCACTTGCACCAGACAAACCTTTGAGTTTTTTCTTGTATTTCATACAAACTCTTCCATATACCTCAAACATTTAGTGTACCACCATCTTTATGCATACCAGTAAAAAATTATCACCTGGCCAGCAACATTTTTGCACAAAAGATCTATAACTCCATTTATGTACTTACAAATTCCTACTTAGTTTAGCTACAGCCATTTTTACAAAATAATTCTTTTATTCTCTTTAGTTATACATTTACATCCCATACACTAGTAAAACTCATACAAACAAATGGATAAGTTAGCTCATTTTAAATAACTTAAAAGCTGTACAGAGAAAAAGGTGTATGAGATGCTCCAATTTAATTACCTACCTTGTGCACACATTCAAGGTCAAATGGTTTTTATCATCTTTGTCATCCTTTACATCAACATTCAAGTCAAAGGCTTCTTGGTTTTGGACAGATCTGAGCCTCTGATCAGCGTGCTTTGTGTTGTAAATAACATTGAGCTGTGGATTGCAAGTGGAGACATTAGATGATACGTGTAAAGCAAATCTGTGTGGTTAAAACACTAAGTTTCTAACAGTGTAACGCCAGAGGAGTGCTCACATGAAACAGGATACACGGCCTTGTATCTGACATTTGCACACATGAGATTCACAGGAATTCTCTGAAAGAAATATCCTTTCTGAACACTTTGTAATGCAGCAGAACCAATGCAATTAGCGGGATGCAATGGAGGCAAACACAAGGGAGCTCTAGAACAACCAGCAACGTTCTCCATATTTGTTGTCTGCTGGTTTATAACGTGTGTCATTTCACTTCCTGACAGTGTGAAATGAGAAGAATAAAGACAAACTTCAGAGACTGACACCCACTGTGTTAAAAGAGACAGGCTGCATATGAAAGCAGACCAAGAGCAAATACATAGCATATGTACAGAAGTTGTCTTCAGTCTTTATGTCACAGAATTCGTACACTCAAAAGAGATGAGAAATAGCATGTCACCCTAAGCTCTGAACAACACAGTTTCCTTGCAGTGAAGTAAGCAGTTTCATCATTTGGTTCATCTGTGCAAAGACAAAGCTACAGTCTTCAGGCAGCCTCAGAGACAAAGTTCTTGCCCTTTCTGCTTAACAACTGCCAAGCTCTGCTGAGTAAGCCAAGTGAGGACATATGATAGGATTTCCAGTGCAGGACAGTAACATTAATATAAAATAAACTCACATATTAGGCACAGTTTGAGAATTTCCAATTCTCCTACCATAGAAATGTGTAAGATGCTTGAGACAGTGGTAGATGAGTGGTAAAACCAGAAGCCCTTAAATGAGGCCTGAATAATTACAAGATAGCCTGATTATCTCAATATCCTATAAAATTACCAATGCTAACAGCAAAAGCAGAAATGCTGGAGCTGGAATTGAGCAACCAAGGAGTACTTTTACATTATCAGCCATCACAGAAAATCATGCAGTAAAAAAACAGTCTGTACTGCATACAGAATTGAACTTAATGACATAATGACGTAAAGAAACAGCTGAAAACTGCCTTACTACCAGACTGGAGGATGACAGCAATTTTTAAGAGTACTAGGGGACTAGAAAACTATGGATATCAAGTAAACTCAGTATTTGTACCAGAAAACACAATCAAAACTACAATAAAAAGTCAAATTAGTGGACAAATGAGTAAGTATGACATGTTGGAGAACAGGCTGTTGATATAAACCCACCAGCTACCTGAGTCAAATGAGAAAACTCAGTCAACGAACGGAGCTTTGTCTAGTATAAGCTACGTGGATGTTACACTGCCATGTAGCTGATTAGGAAGAGCATTAGCCAAAGAGTACTAGTCGAAACAAAAGAAGCTGCCAAGGGATAAAGGGCTGTTAAAAGACAAGAACAGAGAGTGGAAAAGTTCATACATGAAAGGAGTGGAGTCCTAAGGGAATCTGTTCTGGATGACCACCATTAAACATATCCATACATGAAATATTAAAAAGGGTGAATCCTGACGCCATAAAGTTTGCTGATTATACTAATTTATCTGAGGTAGCAGAGACTAGGATTACTGCAAAGAGTAGCAGAATGAAAGAATTTTTATTTACGTAATAATGGGTTATGCACTGTTTACCACCAAATCGGTTTAGCATTTAACAAATGGTAAAACGCATGAAAATTCAGCTGCAAATAGCTAAGTTAGACACCACAGAATTATTTTCATGGGAAAGACATATAGGAAATAATTTTTCATGCAATGCAAGATTATATTGTGGAATTCCTTCCCACAAGATGCTGCAGATACTGATATATATGGTAAGAGGTAGAAGACAGTCAAATAATGTATTACATTATTATATATTATATATTCTTATATTATATATTCTTATACTCTCTTCTGGGCATCCATCTCTGGTTGTTGTGGAAAACAGAACGTTGGGCTAGACTGAGCTTTGCTCTGACCCAGCACAGTCCCTTTTACGCCTTTTCTCCAAATACAAAAATTAGGGGAGCAGATTCAAGAGGAGAAAGAAGTACTGCTTCTTCTTACAATATACTGTTAGCTGCAAAACTACGTGCTGCAAGAAACTGTAGTACCTGCATGCATCAAGAGGGCATACCAGTGAGATATCACTTCATGTTTGCCCTGTTCTAGTAGCCTTCATTGGTCATCTCTTTGCTCCCAGTATGGGATACAGGACAATGAACGGTGTCAGCTGTCCCAGCTACATCTGCTCTAACATACCCATGTACTTATACCCAGTAACAGACATCAAAAAAAAAAATTAACTTTGAGAAAACATATGAAGTTGGTTCAGGCTGATTAACATCCAAGGCAACGTTGATGGTAGCTGCTGTATCCATTGGCTGTGGCACAAATGGGACACCAGCTCTGAGAGGACAAGAGGATGCTGACTCAGCACTTCACTGAAATGACTCAGAAAGCTCAGCTTTCAAAACCAAACCCAAGAAACTTAGAAAATGCTTACTATCAAAGAAGAATTTACATTATTTAGCAAAAATAGTGATTTTTACCATCAGAACAGTAAGTTTGCATACAGTTTTAATATATGAACAAATAATCCTTATTTCCCTTAGTCATCAAGGTAAAACACATGGCAAGGCGGGGGAGGGGGGGGTGTCTTCTTCTTTGATTTTGGTAGAAAAATGATCAGAAAGTGGTTCAAATACTTTCAACATATACTTTGCTGGGCTAAGGAAAAGGGAATGAAGAGTGCTTCTGGAAAATCACAGTCCCTTTTACACAGTTTCTGGCAGCAAAGGGAAAACTCTCAATCCAAATTTAAAGATACGACAGAAGGTTTTCAAAGTTATAGGTTAGCAAGTCAGTTACAGTCTAACAAACCTTTGCAAACAGAAGAGTCTTTAATTTCTGATTTTTGCTTTTGCTGCTATGTCTCTCACTCCTGCATGCATGATTCCCCTTGCTCTGCCCTGCATTGCTGAATTTAGCATGCTGTACTAGTGCAGAGCCAAATCTGTACAGGCGCTTAGGACAACCGTGGTGCAACAGGGAAGATTTATCCTGTACAACTGCTCTGCAGGAGAAGGCAGTACCAAGGATTAAGCCAATCTAGAAAGTCTGCCAGTTACAGACATGCAGAAAGTTTGGTAAAGACAAGCTGGCAGTGCCTCAACAATCTGTCATCACAGAAACAAAGCTGTTTTAACTTTTGCCACAAAAAGCTAATGAATGGGAATTTACTGCCAATGCAGGATGTCTGAAACCACATACCGAACAGGTCAATCAGCTAGTATTTTCATGGAATAAGTTCTCTCTGTTACGGTCTGACTTTCCATTCCTGATTTCTCATGACAATGAAGGAAAAATCTTTTTCATAACAAATAATTAAAGCCTCCTTCATTATACACTCTTACTTTGGGGACAGAATGCTATTATACAGAAACTAGCATTAAGTCAACAAAATGGGCAACTGCATTTCTTCTTAACCCTTTTAAGAAGCAGCTGCTAAAGCTACAGGCAGAACTGATCCAGTCTTGTCATACTGCAACCTGTTCTGGTGAAAGGCCCAAGAGAAAACTAAAAGTTAATCTTCTGCACAATAGAGATGCTTGTAACAGCACCTGACCCAATCAATTGCACTACGTTTAAAAAATGTCACTCATTTATAATGCCTTAATCTATGTCTCTTTATCCTTTTCTTTTTGTTCTTCAACTAGCAGCACAAATGTGCTTGATTGAGGACATGAATTCAATGAAGTAATCTCCAATAATTTTCTCTCCCTTTTTGACTCAGTATCTACTCAAACTGTAATGGACAAGTATGTGTGCTTTTATATTGCAGTGTACCTTTTTCAGTACTACCACAACAAATAACATTTAGTCCCTTGCATTTTACTAAGCCTAGTAAAAATACACCAAGTGGAAAAAAAAAACAGTCAGTACTTTTCAGTAAAGAGTAACAAATGATTCCCACTTTTTTCCTCGCTTCCTCTCTAGACATGACCAGGAGATCAAGGAGATCTTGTTCACCTATCCACTTTGCCCATACCAATGCTCCTTTAGCCTACCCACTCTTCCCTTGTTAGTCCTAGATTTCAGTGGCATTCTTCCTTCCAGAAGTCACTGGTCATGCCAATTTGAGGCCAAGCCCATTTCACAGTGATTCAAGACAGCAGAGAGGTCTGTCTTCCAAGACTTTCAGCAGGCCAACAAGGGAAGATTGCTTCTTTGACTCCTTTCTCTGGAGAGTGCCTTTCATATACCCTTAACCGTACACTCATCCTCTCTTTCCCCTTGTAGAGCTGGTGTCTTAAGTCATCCACAGTGTATGCCCACATATGAAGGGATGAACCAGGGGACTTTGTCCCTAGGACCACAAAACTATAATTAAATGTCTGCTTTTCCAATTATACTATCCAAAACTAATAAATTTGCTAAGATCCTGCAGGGTCAAGTATGAATACACTGCCAACTTGCACACACAGTGAGATTTCACAAAAAATAAGGTGTTTTTTCTAAGAATCCATTCTGTCGGGAAAGCAACTTTTTCCATTAATGGACCGAATCTTGTGTTTTGTGATATTTAAATGAATTACTGTTTTGACATGCTACTTTGGCCAGAAAGTCAAATCCCAGAACAGTGAATCTCACCACTGTACTTTGGCGGGCCTAAGACAATGAAACCCAGCTGAAGAAATGTGATCGCCTTGTCATATGCTATCTGATTTACTAAATGCGGCCCAGATCTAGCTTGCATCTGGGAAAAAGAGAAATCTCATTCAAACAGCAACAGTGCTCTGTCTTTTAGAACACCAGACCTCCCAAAGGAAGCAAAGAGAAGAACTGATCCCAGCAAAGAAAAGGTTTGAAGAAGCTACTCCACTGTATTAAGTAGAACATTTTGAATCAAGTCACAGCATGTCTGACACAGGAAGCTGCAGGAAAAAAGGCAATGGAAGAAGATAATCTGGCATTGGTTCCCAAACACCAGTTATTTGGGAGCACATCTGCATGTACATACAACAAACCAGGAACTTAACCTATAGTGCTATACACCCCCAATAAGCCTTCTACCCACAGAGTCAACTACTGGCTATTCCGGGTGGAAGGCATCTGCTCAGTCTTCATCGGGTGTGCTGGTTTGGATGTGAAACTTTCCTGCTGGCAAAAATGTAATTGGAACCAATGCGCTTCCACAAAAGGCATTCATTTCAACAAATCAGCATCTTCCAGCAAGAAACAATTTGCTGAAAAGTTTTTGATCAGCTCATCTGACAAATTGGTTGACTTAATATCAGGGAGTATTTCTCAACAGTGATTAAGTTAAGTAGTTTAACTGTTCTGGAGCCCCACTTTGTTATGTTCCACATACGCTCACACACTGAAACCACAGACGTGTGAATGCAATCCTGCTGAGATGTTCATGCCTGTCTTGGCCTGCAGGTCTGAATCTACAGTATCCTCTGAAACTTTTGAACTTTGCTGTAAACTTTGTTGGCACTTCTGGGAATTAATAAACATGGGACATGATTTATGGCACTGTGGGTTTTCCAGACTGATGCCGAATGAATGAGGGGTATCTCTCACTGCTGTTCATTGCTGACAGGTATCTGTGAAGGTTCTTTTTAAACAGTCTTTTATCCAAAAGCATATTTACCATCACCGTGCTTTCTTGTTTCCCAAATGTGTAAGAACACTGAAGTAAAGATCAGGTTGAAAGGAACTTGAGATGGAATTTGACATGGCACAAAACGTCAAGATGATTAAAGTCAGCCTAAGTTCAGTTTTCTCAAGTACAACTATAAGGACTCTAGTAGGAGCTCTGTATGATTTTACTGTAAGACTCAGCAATCTGTCTGTCATGCTCAGAGACTAATATTTCTGTATTATCTGTAGCTTTTCAAAGGTATTCTCTTTCACCTGTGTGGTTCTAAGTCACTGTCATGGACAGGACAACAGGGACGAAAGAACATTCATGGCCATATGAAATGAGTTCCAATACTGTCTTCTTCACACAGAATAATTCTCATAGGGTTATGAAAAATCTTCGAGGCGGAATTTCTTCAGACATAATCTCTTATGGGAGAAGAGCAAGCAGCTGAAAAGGCTATTTATGTTTTGTTAGTTCTAAATACTCTATGTGCTTATCCCAGATTAATTTCTTTAAATATAAGTAAAGTTGTTTGAATCTCTACTACCGAAACACAGTCTTCTCCAGGACAAGCAGAGAAGGGATCACTATACTGCCTTCTACTATCTGCCATGCCCCATTGTTGGATGATGTGAAGCATCTATTACTGTTGGCAGTTTGCAGGATCCTTTGACTTTCACACTATTTCAGAACAGTGTAAAAATTGCTGGAGAACCCGGCCATAATACTCTTGGTTTTAGGTTTTGCACTATGGTTATATTCTGCTTCACCAAAACGAAAATAAGTCTAATAACTAGTAGTGTAATCTAGTTCTGTATTGATCTGTGCCTTATTATGGTTTACCTCAGGTTTCCAATTAAGCATTTCTGCCTGATCCATATGCCTTTTTTACTCTGACCTTTGTGCCTGCAGACGTACCACTGCAGTCCTTCGTCTTGCAAATGGACGCTGCATTTCTATAGGAGGACAGGGCTGCTTTGATATGGCCCTGGCCCATGGAAGTGCCCCAAAACTGAAAATCATCCAACAGCTCTTAAAAGGCCAGGCTGTCAGACATAAACAATCACATTAATACGTCCATTCAGACAATATTTGGTACACAGCATTCATCAGTTAGTAAAATGCTTTGGTACTGATTTAACACATTTCAGAAGACTGTTCTTACTAACATGTTTTATAAAGTTTCAAAATTCAGCAAGAATAACTGCACTGCATACCTGAAAGACAGCAAATCCTGTTCCGTCTGCTGCCACTGTAACTGTCATTGGTTGCACAGGGTCAAGCTGAAAGGAAGATGAGTAAATCAGTATTTTCAAAGTACTTTCAGTTAGCAGACTTTATGAAATATTCCTCACTTTCTACAGTACCTCCTTGGTCTGAAGCAGAAAACGGTTTCGAGTATCAATTGAAAATATTTCTGGTATTTTCAAAGAAGGTGCTGTCACTGTTAAATCCATTTCTGTTCTGCCTGCCGTAGTTAGAGTTGCGAATAGACTCAAGGCTTGCAGAGCCACCACTGTGTCCTGTTTAGAGAAACAAATCCTTCTGTAATAAACAGTGAACTACGTATGTATAGGCCATGCCTTGGGGAGTTCATGGTCCCTGCATTGTCCCATTTGTTGATTATGTTGGAGTCTTCAGGCAGCCACCTCCATATCTCCATTGGGATTCCACTGCTACAAAGGATACCAGCACAGAAGAGGGATGGCAACACAAGTTGAACATTTGAAGTGCCTCTTCCAAAACTTTACAATTATATTCTCATGTTTACGTTTCTCGCATTTGTATTTCTCACCCTGAATTCAAAAAGAGTTCAACATGTCTAGAAAATCTATCATCTGCCACTGCTGAAGGTGACTTCAGAGCTCTTCCACATCCTAGGCTCAAATGACTCTCAGAAACAGAGGTGAAAATCAAGAGGCCAAAGAGCCACCTAAAGAGAAGATAATTTTTATGCTCTAAAGCAGAAGGCTTTTCACTAGGAAACATTCACAGCTGAAACATGAGTTACACAGCTCAGCATGACAATGCTGTGCCCAATACACAGCCTAAAAAGTTACAAAATATGGTCTCAAGCCATAGTCACAGGCCTCTCTTGCCCAGCAACATAGGCTTTGCAGAACTTGCTACTCTTCCCTATGATTTAAATCTACTTTCATATATATGCTATTTTTTGTACAACTTGTATTGCTGTATGTATTAAATATCCACATTTTATGTCCAAACATTAAAAGCATTATAAAGCAAAATCTACTGATTGCAAATTCATAGTAAGCTACACCACATATACATATTGCAGAGAGTTATGATACCGTAACTTACAAAACATCACACATGTAACTGATTACTTTCCTCCTTATTGTTTAACAATACATTACGTTTCTAATGTAATAAATTCAGGTAATAAAACATTCCCAACATTCCCAACATTCTTTTAAAGCAATCTTGGAAGTTAACAGAAAGTATAGGGTCATTTCCACAAAATAAAAATGCCATCCTGAGAGACACTGCAGTAATTTTGAAAACAAAACAGTTTAGACTATGGAAGAACAAAAGGATTAAATACATTTCTTAACTTCACACTCAGGAGTAAATGGTACACTGATGGACTTTCAAACTTTCAAGTAAAAATGGTTTCTGGAGAACAGAGAAAAGCTTTTTTAAACTCATATAGTGCTTCAATCAGCCTCTTCAAATAATAAGCAAGAATTAACACATTAGGAAAATATTATAAACTCTGGGGAACTAGGCTGGTTGTTGCATTTTGTTTAGTAGAATTTCTCTCAGATCAATACAAACATTGGAAAATAATGAAGGATAGCTTGTACAGCTTGGTACCAAGCAGTATGATGAAATATGACATTTTACTGTGACCAGCATTTGCAATTAATTTAAAAGCTAGTTAAACTAATGCAATCCAAATTACTATATAGACTTTCTGGATGCCATCACAGCATACAAGATGTGGTTTCAATAACATGGAAACCTCCTGGAGATAATGAAGATATTCCAGATTTCATGGCCCATCAAAAATTCATGCAATAATAAGGACAAAGTACATTATTAAGACCAACTGCCAACAGAGGCACTAGGTTAGGACGTTTCTCTAAAACCTACTCCCATTTCTTATCTTAGTTTCAGAAGCTTGAGGAGCCACATATGGAAAGAAAGATTTCTCTCCTTGGAAAGAAAGCAAGCACAGATATTTGGAAAAATATGATTTATTCTTTTTCCATGGGCATCACTTCTTAATTTAAGATGTTTTGTTATTAATATTCTATACAATAAGGTGACCCTCTAATTCTGTTTTTTATTACACTTGCCAAAATAGTGAAAGTGGTAGTCCAGGTTTAAGATGCCAATATCACAAAGAAGGCAAGCCTGCACATAGCCAAGGCTATTACAGCAAAACAAAATCCAGTAATTATTATGTTTAAAAAAACAAAAAAGTCCCTTTTTAATTTTTTTTTTTTAAACATACAGTGCTCACTTAGAAAGTATACCAAAGCCCCTTGAGACAAGGTATTACCTGAGTAGATGAAAATCCCCCAAGATGATTTCTTTGCTGACTTAACCATTTCATAATAGGGATCCCCTCTGCTAATCTGTCTTGATGAAAGTGCGAGAGCAGAGCATATGCTGCAAGTTCAATATCAATGGACCGTGGCTGCCATGAATCAGAAATTTCAGAAGCAGGTGTTACCCAGAAACGAAATTCTCCTGCAGAAGGAACCAATAATAACCTCAGATCCACAGGATGACATCTTTGGACTTCTCAGAAAGACTTAATGCTTAGTTACGGCACCTAGCCATTTTCTTTAAAATTGTGCTAATGTTTAGGCATGTGTCACATAAAGGACTGACTTAAGCACTTCCTCAGCAGTGGCTGAATCTAGACACAAAAACCCTAGAGTCCAAATAGTCACTCCCATTGATTTCAGTGAACTTTACATTGATGCTTTCACTGTCAGCCCAAAGTGCTCACATAAAGGAGCCTTTGTGAAAAGGCCATCTCATTGCTGGTGTGCTCCTTTCTCATCAGGACTGAAGAAGGCATCTTATGCAGCACAGCTGCTAAATAGCCTCTTTCTGAGTGAAGCTTTTGAAAAAAGTGATTTTCTCCCTTCCCAAAAGTGACCATCAGAAAGTCCTAACCTAGTAAACACAGAAGTACAGAGGCTCTGTTGCTAGGTTACAACATTAATTCCTTAAGATTTTTCAAGAAGACAGTTACTATTTCAAGCCCAAAACTTCCATTTCTTACATCCATGTGGTCTGTTCTTCCCACAAAACAAAGAATAAAATTCAGTCATGCTGAACTCGGACGAGGTTAAACACAATGAGATGATGGGTCCCTACAGAAAATGCAACAGACCTCGACATTGTGTTACAGAAAATTCCTCAACTCTTCAATCCAATAGTGAGGTTAATTAATTGCCCCCCAACACCCTCCTGATCAAAACCACTTTGGAATAGCTAACCTCATCCATCTCTCTTTAACCAGCCTGATCTTACAAGTGCACATAATAACATGGTAAAACTGACAACTCATGTTTTTCAGCAGCATCATGGCATGTGATCAGGAACATAGTAACTGAGACTGAAAGGCCTACCTTTGTTGTAAGTTGTCATTCTATTTTGGATGCTTTTCACTAAGACTGTCTTGGAAGTTCTTAGCTTATTCTCTATACCATACTCAAAACAGATCTGAATTAGGAATAATGATTCTCTTCATTATTCCATATGCAACTGTAGATATATGATAAGTATGTTTAAATTTGACAAAAGTCCATCTATATAACTGTATAAGATAGTTGTGCAATACCTTGGTGTTCGGCTCTCTGGTTCAGTATATTCAGCGCTTCCTTTGCTTTTATACTTTTTGCCCAGGACAATGCATATGTCACAAGTGCCAAAGTGTAATTATCTGAAATGCCTTCTTCTAATTTATCTTCCAGAAAGTTTGTAGCACTCTTGATGACATAAGCATGCTGCAAATGAGGATTATATTGAAGATTGTACAGCAAGTAAAATATTTATTGAAACATTATAATTTAAAAGAAGAATTTGTACAGAAACATTACTATTGCCATATAACAACCAAAAAACACTAAAAATCTCTTTCAGAATCACAGGCACGAACCTCAAAGGCAAGCATTTTGATCTGGCACTGTCTTTCATGAACGTGAGTAATCGCAATAAAATCAATTGCAATGACCTAACATCTCTCAGGATAGTTCCCCCCATAAATTTCTTTGCAAGTTCTTGGACTAAAACCATGACAATATTCTTACTAAAAGCAACTGCCTTCAGTTTTTTCAAAGGCACATAAAACTGAAGAGCCAACAGCACAACTTTTTATTGTCTCGGGTAGATAAGAGAAATCAATAAAATCAGGTTAAATTTTGTCTCTGATCAGATGTTCCTCAATTGCCTTGAATTAACAAGTGTTTGCCCAGGTATTATGGCAATTTATGAAGTGTTCCAGTAACTGTAAGTTCTGTTTATGAATTCCAATACCTGTTTATCTGGGAACCCTAGCAGGGATGACATGATGTAAGCTGTAAGAGTGACAGGATTATTGGTGCCTCCTTGAAGATCACTGTGTAACACTTTCCCAGGCTCACGAAATTCTCCATTTAACTTCTGATGCCGCACGATCCATTTAGCTGTATCCGTGAGTACATCTTGGTCAATATCTATGAATGGACGAGCTTGAAGGAAACATCTTAATACAAACGCTGATAACCTTGGGGGAAAAGTTAATCAAATATGACAAAATTAGCAACATATTACAGCTTCTTCTGTTTAAGATGTATGAATACTTTGATGTATAAGGTGTTCTACACACACCTCCCAATCTCAGAGGAAAATACATGCCTCACCTAGACAAGCAAGTAGACTAAGCTTAAGCCACCAAAAAATGAAACTATGTCCTTGTTCCTAAAGATCACCTCTTTTTGCAGCTGTTATGTTTCAAAAATAAATACAAATATTTTTGAAACAAGTCTGCCAACACATGTATATATTTATTCAAATGTTGCTCTCCTGCCTTCTGCTGCCGGGCTAAAATGGCAAAAATCATAGTTTACAAAGTATTGCAGTTATGAGTATGATGTTAATTACGACCATTATGCCTGTAATTATATCATCGAAACAACCTTTGTTGTTTTACTAATAATCCCAAATTCTGCTTTGACTCCCTGCTTTGCCAAATATACATTCATGTAACCTGTCACTGTACTACTGAAGCACCAGAGTTGCCAGGTTAGATAAATTACATTCATTTTCCAATCCACCAATACTGACTTGAAGGCACATCCTGCTGTTGTCAATGCAAGATGCTCACTGACTCCAGGAGTGACTCAACCAGTGGCACAGTCACTGGGATGATTCTATGTAAAGTCAGAAGTGTGTACTGATATACGTAAGTATATTTAAACTAATCGAACATGGGTTAGCTGAATGAAGTGCTAGAACTTGTCTCTGCTATCTGTCTCGCTCCCACTACCATGCTCACTATGCTTCTCAGCCTGAAATTCAGCACTGAAAAGGCCTTTTCAGCTCTACTTATAGTCTCAAAAAGGGAGGTATGAGAGAGGTAAGTAGGGCAAACTTTTACCACCAGTAACTCTGTTCAACCCCTAGGAAATGCCTCAGACAGTCTTTAGCCTCCAGTATGGAGAGAACTGAAATCTGAAGCAATAATGATCACATAGCCCTAAATGGTTTTAGTCAACTGGAAGAACAAGTCATTTAATTATTATTCTTCATTTCTTTGAGGAAAGCAACAGAAAAGCTTTCAGACCAAGCTATTTCTCTGGCTGAAATAACTCATCATTCCTCTTCAGCAAAATTAAAGAGCCTTGCCCTAATAATATCTTTGACAGCATGTTATCCAGCAGAATGACCTTAGAGTTGGCCTAAACCCCTAATGAAAACCAGGCAGAAGGCTAATATAGCTGGAAATTTTTACCAGCTTCTCAAAAAATTTTTAGTTGTGAGGAAAATATCTAAAATACTTAAATTCCACAGTGAATCTGGCAGAACTACTTACCATGTGCTCCCAGAGGGATCGTCATTTCCAAAGGCACTAAAAGAGCCATCATCCCTCTGGAAAAGCAGCTCTCTCTGGTAGCCTGAAGTGGAAAAGCAGAGACAAGTATTGAACACTTTCCTCTCATGTGGGTTCCAGCACAAACTGCCTGCTGACGTGAAGCAAGGCACTTTCTAAGGCTGAGAAGGGCAGAACCTGACCTAGTATTTAATAAAAAAGTCTCCTAAATATGTAGGAACACACAGAGCCATGCAGAAGATGATGAGAAAGCTAGCAGCAGTAACATGAAGGATCCATCTACAAAAGCAGAACCAGAAGCTCCAGCTCACACTCACAACAGAACTCGGTGGTTCCAGGAGCACAGCAGCAGAGAGCACAGAACAAAGTAGCAGCTATAGTTCAGTGCTTCATCACTTTGGGGAGCTGGAGCTGTGCATCTACAGAACTGCTCTATCTTTCCAGCAGAAGGAAGGACAAGCAAAAATGAAGTATTGTCCAACTGGAAGGGCAAAGTGTACAGCAAAGCTACAAATGCTGCTCAAAACCAGACTCCTTCAGCAGCTTGCTTTTCCCAAACCAAAGCACTAGTTATCTGAGCAAGCATGCTAAAAGAGGCTACTCTGAAACCAGTGAAAAATGTCAAAAGACCTGAATATCCTGAAATCCTGAGAAGGATCTGTTTAAAATGTATGCAAAGATTTTTCAGTATGCAGAACACGTGCAGCTTTCTCCTGACTGCTGAACATCTATAAAAGTGCCCCAAGGGCTCACTAGCAGCTCACAACCACCAGCAGCATCCTTAATAGTCAACTTCAGCGCAGAACCAATGTTCATTAGTGTTAGAAATGAAAAGTTTCCTATGATATGCTACTCCCTGTAGTTTCTAAAATCTAAAACTTTCCTTCCCTTATATTTTGCTTGCCATTTGTATAGCCATAACAATAATTGTATCTATTTATAGCATTTCTTTCCCCCTACGCTGTCTTTTCCCTTAGCTGTTTTGCCTTTTATAATTAAGGAAGTACATTCATTAGTTTAACACCTGGCAGATACAGACACAATACTGAATCAGCCAGGCAGAGGAAAGCCTTTAGGCAACCATTAAGTCCTACACAAATTAATGAATTTACAAATATGTTCCATAAGGTCCATGCAACTCGCAGTGTTCCCCTGCAAAATGTTCCTTGTTTTTACACATGAAGAATTAATCACCTGCTTACATACTATTCTGTATATAGCTACACAGTGAGTGAACCACAGCCTTAATAACTGAGGACCAAATGGTTTGGTCCCACAATCTAAGTTATACCATAAGATGAAATCATAGTCAGAATCTCTCTATAAATAGAAGAGACATAAAGATACAAATCCGAATTGCTACAGTATAGCAGTGCACCTCCTCATAAGAACTCTTAACCCGTAGCGTCAGATTTAGTTTTTGTCTCTTTAGAAGAGTTTGAAATTAAAATTTCCACTCAAGTATAGGCTTTTTATAATGTATTTATCATGACAGTTGTTGATTACATGATTAAAACTGGTGAATCTTTCCTATACTGACAAATCTGGCATCTCAGTTAACGATCTTGATGAATCAAGCACTCTTGAGTGGGAAGAATAAAGAAGAAATGAGTGGCATCACCAAGGAAAACAAAAGTCACTGTCAAATTTAAGCCTCAAAATAATGGGCTATGAGGAACATGAATATAGGCATATATACAAATGGACTGCTTCCTCTTCAAAGATATCTGACTGCATGGCCTGAAAACTGAGTTTTTTCTGCTTCTTAGCAGAAAGTGCAATGCATAGCAATAAGTATTATTATCACCACCCCGTTGGTAGTGTAAAAGTACTAAACAAAGACCATCAGCCTGTTTAACAAAGACTGCTGAGCAGCCCTTACATAGTGAAAAATTTATCTCATAATTTATTAAGATTGGGAGAGATCAGAAAGATGAGCAGAACCAGAGGGAGAATGGAGCGATCACACAGCTATTTCCTGCAGTCTGGTTGGCTTTTCCTCAATGCCAGCCCCACTGCAGTCATGCAAAAGTCTCTAAACACTCATGTATCTGCCACAGGGGAGCCTGTAGAAATGCTGGAACAAGAGACCAAGGGGCTGTGAACCACCGTGTTTGTTCCAGTGGACACTCAATCAGACATGAAAAATGATACCTCAAATGTCAACACATACAAGTGGAAAGGCGAGGAAAAGAAGGATCCTATTATGAAGATGTACACTAGTAGTCCCAGAGGACTGGCTGGAACCCAGCTGAACAAGGCTGAAAGAGGAGTGCATCAGGATGGAAAGGACTTCAGAAATATGTGAAAGACTAGAGGGTCTCACATTTCAAACACCTTGGAAATACTGCTCAAACTCATTGCTTGCTTTGGGTCTAGCACCAAAGTTTTTAGACTGACCAGGATTTTTTTTTATTTCTAAAGAAGTGATTTCAAGATGGGATCTGTCATTCCCACAATGGAAGGGGTTTTTTTTTTAAAGGCAACTTTTCTTTTGCTTTACCTTTGTTCTAGGTAAATAAAAACTGATAGAAGAACATACAGCAGTCTCTGCTAGCTATATGATGCCTTCTTCTCACAAGAATTTAGCCTTAAACTTAATTATATTTACTTCAGATTCTGAGGTACCTTTTTCAAATATTTAGTGAATTCTGACATGTGAAATAAAGTCTGTTTTAAATTGAACTTCATGACAATTCTTTCAGAAACTGAGCTTATAAAAGTTACATCTCAAACTACAGATAAAGTTCAACCTTTTTAAAAAATCAGTGCAACAAATGGAATCAACTGTTAAAATAAAGCAGGAAAAAAAAAAACCCAAACAGTGTTTTTTAGATTGCAGGTCTTTTCTTCAGATTACAAATAAGGCTTACTGTTTTGGCTACTACAGTGTTAAAAACATGCACCTAAATTCAAAGCCTCAGGAACAAGTTAAGTAACACAATGCTTTGTATATACGTGACATTTAATTGTATAATTTTCACTTGTTTTGATATAACTAATAAATCTGTTACTGGGAAAACTTCAGAACTCCATGTTAGCAAAACTCAGGCTTCAAAGACAGGTAGATTGCTTGCAAACTTCAGAGTAGCTTCTTACACAGCACATCTCTACCCCAACACCTTACTTTTCAACCAGACCATGTAGTAGGAAGGGTTTAAAAATATCATTTAACTGCTTTTGACAGAAAACTCGGATCTTGATGAAAGGAAAACTTATTTTTGAGCTGTGTCTTTTCCAAGGGGAATGTCAGCAACTTAAGAAATAAACACAGAAAAGCCAAAGACTTAAAGAGAATAAATAAAATTTGAAAATGTCATCATGGTGCCTTAGTAGGGGTGTAGCTCACATGATGGTCTCATTCCTCTCTATGAACCAGGCTCTTGGCATGCAGAATGACATGGGGTGAGTGATTACACTGGAGCCAGACACTGATCCAAAAGGCAGAGAAAAGCATAGTTCAACTATATTCTCCACACTCTGTGATGCCCAGGAGTATTTCACAATTAAAAGATTCAACAATTTTCAACTAAAATTTTCCAGCTTTTGATTTCCAACACTGAGTTTACTTCTGACCAAATCTAAAACTTGGGTGGGAAAAAGCCTGCCACAATAGCCAACAACACTCCTTGACCTCTGCAAGGCCATGTCAGGATAGGATGGTGTCACTGAAGGCAGATACACACATAGGATGAATACGGTTCACTCTGACTAATTTTCAACCTCTGTGCCTCTAGCAGAGGTCACAATTGTTTGCTCACACATGGTTTTACTAAAGGAGAAATAACAACCACCTAGGAAATCCATATGAATCACCTCAGAATCATAGAAAAGTAAGGGTTAGAAAGAACCTTAAGATCATCTAGTTCCAACCCCCCTGCCATGAGCAGGGACACCACACACTACACTATGTCACCCAAGGCTCTGTCAAGCCTGGCCTTGAACACTGCAAGGGATGGAGCATTCACAACTTCCTTGGGCAATCCATTCCAGCGCCTCACCACCCTCACTGTAAAGAACTTCTTCCTTATATCTAATCTAAAATTCCCCTGTTGAAGTTTGAACCCGTTACCCCTTGTCCTACCACTACAGTCCCTAACGAAGAGTTCCTCCCCAACATCCTTGTAGGCCTACTTCAGATATTGGAAGGCTGCTATGAGGTCTCCACGCAGCCTCCTCCAGGCTGAACAGTCCCAATTTTCTCAGCCCGTCTTCATACGGGAGGTGCTCTACCCCCCGATCATTTTCGTGGCCCTCCTCTGGACTTACTCCAAAAGCTTCTAATACACATTTTTCCTCTGGAAATGTACTAAACATTTTTCCTCTGGAAAAATGTAACTATACAAAAACAACGTGTTTTCTCTGAGCAGACTTGTCCTTGTAAACAAAAGTATTTGCTCTTTAATTCTGTCAGCTCAGAAGAGGAAAATTAAGAGAAGATGGGCTTTTCTTCTAGTTCTCATGACACTAACAGAGCAGTATTTCAAATACCAAATACAGAGTCACAGATATCTTTTTCCTAGCAAAAGTTCTTAAAAATCTAACATCTTTCTTTTAAGCATACAGACCTTTTCTCATAAATGATACAGCTTTTGATTTAATATCCTCTCTCAGCTGCCTGGTTTTAGTCAGGTATTGCAAAACATAAACATTTGGAGCAAAATTGATCATATTCTGTTCACCACAGCCATAAGGCATCTTAATCAATGACGACAAACCGTTGATAGAAGGCCCAAGTAAATCACCTGAAATATAAAATTTCATGAAAATAAATTAAAGTTTATTGCAAATAAATGCATACCTCGCACATAAAGGGTGGTATCATCTAAACTGGGAGAAAATATGACACACTAAGGACTTTTGTACTAAACACCACCAAACAGGTAGAAAAGATACTTCATCTTCTGGTCAGCTTTGTGCCTACTGACACATTCCAACTACGGAGTAACTTGAAACAGCCACCAATAAGACAAGCAGAATTAAAGCAGGATACTAAGCAAGCTTTGCAGGATCTTCCTTATTAAGCTCCGACTCCCTCTCTAACTCTGAAAATGGATAGCAATACCATAATATTGTGGATTAAATAAAGGAATAACACACTCCATCCATAAGGTCTTCCGATGCTTAGTCTAATGCATGATGTTAAATTATTTTTAATTAATGATTCAACCTATTAATACATCAATTAAATAAAAAGAAATGTAGTTCCCTAAAAACCTATAAAGCAACAGCCTTGCTGAGCAAAATCTTGCAAGGGTCTCTAGAAGCTCTAGCAAATCCTGCAAGGGTAGCTCAGGTTATTACACACCAGCCTCCCTGCTATACTTGACAGAGTTTACTTCTAGTTACTACTAGCAACTGCTCTGTTCTTTAAAAACCACCTATGCCTGCAATGCAGAAGATGCCAGCAGCTGGATTATGGACACATATATGTTAGATACTGAGTTCAACAAAAGCCCAGTGTGTAAAAAACTATTAAAAAAAATAGCTGACCAGTAAATAATAAAGATGAAAACAGAATAAGGTAATCCTTACCAACAGCAGTGACCTGCACTCTCTCACTGCCACTTACAACATCAGAAGGAAAAGTGAAATCCAAAGTTTTTGACACTGATCGTGGCTTATTCCCAGTCAAATCCAAAAGGACTGTCTGAGAATATGTCTGTTCCAATCCTTCAGCCTATTAAAATAAAGACAAGATTATTGTATTAGGACAGGAGTTGTGTGCTTACCATACTGAGGGATCTAAAACAATGTCAGGTATTTTGTGCTGCTTGCTAACACATCCAGAACCTAAGCTATTGGCCCGCACAATTAAAGACCTACCTTCACTATTTGCTTCTCGACACCATGTGTCAATAACAAAAATGCACCTGCAAAGTCAATGAGAGCATCTCTGATTCCAGTGAGCTCCATGCTTGGCTCCATGACCAAGTACATGTCAAGGCTGGAGGTGGTACTTTTCACACTGTTTGCAATTCTACAGCCTGTCATACAAAGGGAGGACTTAAAACTGAAGTTAGGTACATGACCATAAAGGTTTCATTTCCTCATGCATGCAAAATCCTAGTGTACTGCGTTCAGGTGTGGGGTCCCTACCATAAGAAGGATGTGGACTTGCTTGAGCAAGTCCAGAGGAAGGTCACAGAGATGATCAGAGGAATGGAGCACCTCTCCTGTGAAGACAGGCTTAAAGAGTTGAGCTTGCTCAGCCTAGGGAAGAGAAGGCTCAGAGGAGACCTCAGAGCAGCTTCCAGTATCTAAAGGGGCCAAGAAGAAATCTGGAGAGGGACTTTTTACAAGGGCATGTAGTGACAGGACGAAGAGGAATGGCTTTTAACTGAAATAGGGTAGGTTTAGATTTGATAGGAAAAAATTCTTCACTGTAAGGGTGGTGACACACTAGAACAGGTTTCCTGGAGAAATTGTGGCTGCCCTATCCCTGGAAGTGTACAAGGACAGCTTGGTTGGAGAGGGCTTCGAGCAACCGAGTGAGCACCTTCTAGTGGAAGGTGTCCCTGCGCATGGCAGGGGGGTTGGAACTAGATGACCTTTAAGGTCCCTTCCAACCCAGACCATTCTGTGATTCTACGATGTTCCCTTGAGAAAAATTGTCCTTGACGCAGAGAAAATAAATGGGTTTCAGGCTCCACCTGAAAACAGCTCACAACCCTGCAGGTTAGTGGTTGTAAGTGGTCTAAGGAGAGGCTGAGAGAGCTGTCCCTGTTCAGCCTGGAGAAGAGACAGCTCAGGGGAATATCATCAATGTGTATAAATACCTGAAGGGAGAGTGTAAAGAAGATGGAGCTAGGCTCTTCCCTGTGGTGCCCAGTAGCAGAATAGAAGGCAATACACACAAATAAAGGGACACTTTTTTAACTGTGAGGGTGTTGAAACAACAAGCTGCCCGGGGAGGCTGTGAAGGCCCTGTTCTTGGGGACATTAAAAACCTAACTGTGCATAGTTCTAAGATTTCTGCTGTATCTCATCCTGCCATGAGCAGGAAGGTTGGTCTACTCCCTTTCAACCTCAACCATTCTCCAATTCTATGGTCTTAAGCATTTATTTTAAGGATGGGATATACAAATGTCTACCACCTTCCACTGAAATGGAGTCTAACACGAATCAGATGTCTAAAGTTAGGCAAGTCTTACCAGTTTCTGGTTTATGAGAAAGTCTGTGGACTGTATTTCCCTCAATAGAAAAATAAAAAAACATTCATATAAAATAGGCTTCGAATTAAAGCCAGGTATATGGCAAAATTGATTGCACTTATCTACAACACAGTTATCTGGTCCCCTCTCCATAGATTATTAAGCTAGCTGTAGTACCAGGAGTTCACTGATGCACAAATAAGTTTCACCTTGCTTTCAGAAGCATTTGACAGACTCTCTGTTGCAGAACTGATCTATGTGTTCATTCCTGGAAGGGGATCTAAAGAAATTTAAAGGAGAAATTATTTTAAAAGTAGCGTTTTCTACTTAAAGCCACCTGACCTGAAACCAACCTTACAGAGCAAGAGGCAGACATGTAAACTGCAGACAAGCAGAGGCAGACAAGCGCAGCCTTTTTTCTGCACTATGTTGTTTATTTTAGGAAACAATTTATTTCAGGAACAAGCCAAGCTGCAGACTGTTTACCTTTACTAAAACTTTCTGGATAATGGCATCAGAAGCAGCAGATGATATTGCTGTCACTTTGATGGGAATCTCTCCCAGCTGTTTTGGCTTGATCGGGAATTGAACAGTTTTCCCATCTTCACTTGGTACAGATACAAACTGTTGATTTTCTGTTGCATTTATTTCATTGGATGTTAGAATGATTTCAAAAGCATCATTCATATCCAGGATCACAGTAACCTGCAAATACATATTTGCAATACAAAGCATTAATTTTGAAAAACTGCTTTCATAAGCTGCCAACTTTTTTTGTGTATAGAGAAATAGTTTTATGATCTGCACAGTGAAGAAAATATCATCTCACAAAAGAAAGACATGGTCTTCACCAGTGATGAAAACCCTGCAGTGTCTAGTAACATTCAAGTACAAAAAGACAGTTATTTTACCTCAGCTTCCTCTTTCAAATAATTAAAGATGTTCACTTCCAAAATGAACTGCTCTCCTCTGATGACAGAGTATGGAAGGTTCAGGAAAACGAAGAAAGGTTGAAAAGCTTCTAGCTGCAAAACAAAATCAGCAGTGAAATCCTACAGTCAGATACTAGCAAGAAAATGACTGGACAGCTTGTCTTCTGATCACTTTCAAATTCAGATAACAGAGCATGTTTACTGTTATGCTACAGTTAAAAAAATGTATTACTGCAGAGCTGAAGCAGAAGATGCTTCTGGCCATTTGCACCTCTGTGGGTGCCATTCAGGTGAGAGCTGCTAGCAAATTTGGAAGCTGTGATCTGTCCTGAGACCTCATTAAAATTTACTGTGAACTGTTTTGTTTGCTAAAGTAATGGATGATCAAGAATCTGTCAGCTGCCCTATCTCCATGTCAATACATCCTGGAATACAAAATCACTAACTCTTCTAAATTCGGTAATACACCAACACTTTAGAATCATGTGTTATTTTGTAAGACTAATTTTTCTTTAGTTCTTTAGTTATATTTCTAAAAATACATCTTTTCTTAATGAAAAGAAAAACTGCAGAAATATACCAGAGATCAGTTACTTTTATCTGTGAACAGAGATTTCTGGATTAAGTCTTGGCTCTAAGAAGCCAGTGGTAAGCTCTCATCAAGCTCAATGGTATCAGAGTTTCACTGTTTATGAACATCTGTAAAATAAGAATGGCTGAAGCATGATACCCTTTATTATTGAAATGTCAACTAAGCATGGTTTTAATTTGTTTTTCATTAAAAAAAATTCTTCCAAGTGTTTTGAGTTTCAGATTCAGAAACCCTTCAGCTTTCTTTCTAGCTAGCAAATATTCCAATGTTTTCTTTTTAAAGCTTTGAAAAGTTGTTTGCTAAAGCTTTCAGTGTCAAAAACTTCTACAGATATAAGACATAAGAGAAATTCTGATGGAAAATTTTTGGCTAGTTCTTAGTCAAGATTTTCCCTATGTAGCTATTTTCTTTGCCTTTTTTTTTTTTTTGCTTGTTTTGCTTATCTCTAAAACTCTTGCAATACTTAAGTTTTACACTCAGGAATATTCCTGTATATTACAACAAAACATGATAGAGTAAAATTACTAACACACTGTGTAGTAGAAGTTAAATAAAAACAAGACACAAAGCGGTAAATTACATTAAGCACGCAGATGTCACTTATTTATTTCCCTATTGCAGTTTTTATGCATTTCTTTTATTTGCCTCTCTGTATGGTACTGATTAACATGTTTCAGCCATATGGAACTACAAGCTCAATCTAAACATCCCAATGAGGGTGAATTACTGAACAGTGCATGTGTGTGATTCTAGTTTAAAATCTCAACATCTGTTCTACTTTCAGTCTTCTCAAGTTTGAGGATGAGATGCCAAGGATACATTTTCATACAGTTTGAATCAGAAAACTATTCCTCTTTCTGTCCCATCTCTGCCAAGCCGAGTGAAAGAAATGAGAATCATGATTCCAGTCTCAAAGGAGCCTTAGCCGCAAAATCCAGGTCAGGCTCCAAATTCTGTGGTGGAGTTATGATCAGGATGTTCAAAGCGTATGTTCTATGTCTGGTGTATGAGCCAACTCTGAAATCTGGATCTAGATCTCAGTTTGGATCCCAAAAGTTGCCTCTCCCCTAGAATTTGAGGGTATGAGAACTTAAATGGGTAAATGGCTGTCTCCAGGCTATGCCTGCACTAGTCCTGGTATCAAGTTGGTAATCTATGACCTGGTACTGCACAGTTTCAACCTTTCTAACATTAGGCACTCAAGGGGAGTTGTCTCAGGAATATAGTTTCTCTAGGATCTTTACGTAATGAATAGAAGGAGATCACCTTCAGACAATCATGCAACATATATAAAATACTAGCTAAATGAGACTTTAATAAGTAATTCCCATTTTGAACAGGCTAAATAACTCTTAAGTAGCTGTTTCCATAAATATAGAGTGATTCTAGGACAACTGCACATGTACATTGGGAATCTCAGGTTAGAGATCTAACCTGATGAGTGTTGAATTTAGCTTAAATCACTAAACTCCTTGACACTTGGAAACACAAGAGCCTCGGGAGACAGGAACTTGGCAGCAAGAAGCATCTCATCCCACCACTGGCTCTCAGTGTCCACTGTGATCCTCAAGTTAAGTCACCCAAAAAAATAACACTTGTGTTTAGTCCAAGACTGGTTTTGGCAGATAAATGAAAGCAAGAGCAGAATCTAGCAGAATCAAGCAGTTCTCCCATCCTCCCTCCTAAGTGTTAGCAGAGCAGCGCAGTGGCATGATCTTTCCAGCAGACAACATGCCTCTCCCATCCCAGCCACCTCCTCCCAGCTAGTCTGTGCAAACCCCCCTGCATGCACTATCAACTCATGGAAAGCCCTCTTGGCAGAGCCAAGAAAACATGGAAACACGCTATCCTCAGGCAGTCATCCCTGCTTCTACATATGCAAATGGCATATCCTGAGAGTGCTCTAACAAAACAGCTGCTCCAACAGAAATAGGCACCCAAGTATCTGCGTAATGTCTGAGATATTTACATGAGCAGGAAGGGGAGGCAGACACAGTATCAACTGTCTTCAGTGATGATGTTTTCTTTACAGTTTGAAACACATGGCCTCTCAATCACATTACTAGTATAGGGAGATAGCTGCTGTTAGAACTAAAATAGAGCATCCAGTAATAACCTATTGTGTAACCAGCATTTAAAGGAGAACTGTCTAGTGCCATGGTACCTCCACTGGAGCAGTCGTCACTCCAAGCCCGCTGTTTTCAGACATCACAAAAGCACTGGCTACCCAGGATGTGATGGTATCAGGTACAGTGACTTCCATTGTGGTGTCCGTGTCAGATCTGATGGCAGAAGGGTAGAGACTTTCAAAAGCATCCATTTACAGACATCAGTAAGTGGACACAAATGTTTAAAATGCATCAAAAAATAAGTACAAACTCTTGGCAGGAAAAGCTGCTGATTAACGGTTCTTGTTTTTCTAATCATTTCAAAAAGTTTGTGATGGGTTCAAAATGATAAAAAAAAATTAAACTATTTTAAATTACATGAATTGAAGGTAATTAATCATATTACATGTAATCAACTTTTACTTCGTTTTTCCTTTAAAACAATCCCAGATGAAGGTTGCTTCCTGAATGTCTCAGCTGTGAAAGAATACAAGACTTGTGCTGCACAGCACAGGTCAGATTTCACCGTCATTTGACAATTTGAACTGCTTACTGAATTAGGTGCAGACAGGAACAGGTTTCCTTTTCTGGGCTAATCACCATCTTCTCATGTGAAGAGAAAAAGACTGGGTCTCCCTATCTGTTATCTGCCCATCTGTAAAGGGATGAGAGTTTCTTTTGTCGACAGCGTTTTTATCTAGTTTCTATTGAAACTACAAGGCCTTCCGTTAGGCATTGCCCTATTTCGTGCAGTTGTATAACGCCTGATTTGGTGGGTCTCCAATCTCACTTGTGGCCTCTAGGTGGTAGCAGAATATAAGTAATACTACATTTTAAAGCGGTGTTCTTCAGCACTAGCGCAGAACGCTACTAGAACCTACAAAGTAACAACAAACGTAAAGCAGTTTCCATTTGCTTCCAATCTCACCTAGTTTTAGTGTCGATCCAAAGCCAAGTCTCTGGAAAATGAGTCCTCACATACAGATTGCTGAAACCAGGAGGTCCATTTTTAGATACTGGCATATCATCACCAAAACCATCCTCTATAGGTATCATTCCACCATCTGCAAAATAAAAAATTATTGTCCTACCAACAAGTATCTAGGTTAAAAAAACAAACAAACAAACAAACAAATCGGTAGAGTTAAGAAAAGTCAAATTAATACAGTGTTCGGAGTATAATCTATACCTTTGTTACACATCGTAACACTATTCCCGTCACGTTAGGAACTACTTATCTTTTCTTGCTTGGTTGGTTTTTTTGAAGAAAAGAAAAAGTTTCACACAAGCTTAAATTTTTACATGGCCTCCCTGGAGTTCTTATGGAACTGGTGTAATATGCCTATACATGACAAACCACTGCAGCGTATATCAACTGGAACTGCAAATAAAAACTCCATTCACCCTCAGGCCTTTAAGGAGTAGTGTTGCTCAGGACAGGACTAGAAAGGAAGTTTTTAAAATAGTAGTCATATGCATTTTGTATGTCTTGAGCCTTGGAAATGGTAATAGTTTGTAAGGCTGGATGCAGCCTGTACGCAGTACTGCAAGAAGACCTAATAGGGGCCCTCCTTCCCCCCTCAGTAAATTAGATTTGGCTACATTTATTTTTATTACTTACAAAGAAAATGCTCTTTATCCTCTTCAAGAATTGCATCAGTTGATACCCAAAGGCTGCATTTCTGGATAAAATTTATATGGTATATCTCAATACAGGACATCCAGGACATCAACAGTTCTTATCTACTTTCTTTTCTTTCTTTTTAAGAAAATAAAGTCATAAAGCAATCACAGAACTAAAGCAAGGAACCAACAAAACTGAGATCATCTGAATATTGCCTTAATAACTGAAAACTTTTCAAAGGGAAGGCAATATCAAGCATAAAGCAATCCATATTTATGAAAGTATAAACATATTTCTTTGCATTCAGAGTATTTATATATTGATAAATTTCTCAATTTAAAACCCATATAAGCCATGAAAACAGTATATTGTCTACAGTCTCAAACTTTAAAAAGGGCATTTTCTTCTAGGAAGCAAATTACTAAGCAGTAAAACCCCCCAGCTTAGAATTAAAAAAAAAAAAAAATCAATTCAAAAAAGTACCTGAAAGACACCAAAAGAACCTCTGACCAGGGGGAAATATTGCACTGTGCTGTATAAATTGAGCTCATGGAACACCTAAGACAAAAAAACCCAAAATCATCCAGACTGAATGTAAACTCACATTTTTCAGTACTTTTACTGTTGTAGATGCTAATTCACAGACCTATGCCTCAAGCAGCAGCTTGCTTAGCTCTCTTTGGCAAATAGAAAAGAATCCGTGACAGGATGAAGGGGATTTGCCTGCAAAGGTTTCATGATTAATGGAAGAGTGACCAAGACTAAGCCTAAAATAGGAGCCTACAGCCCACTGATATTCTATGGCACCTAGGCCATGTCATTTGAGCACTTTAGGAATGATGTATATTGCAAGCTCTCCCAAATGGTTGATGCACTAGAGCTTCTGCAAGTAAAGGGAACTCAAAAAGATGAATAATTTATTCTGCTCTTCAAAAAATAAAGTTCGTTCTTTATTTTTTATTGCTGATTTTAAAGAGCACAAAGAACAAATCATTAGGGAGTTTTTCTGGCTTTTTTGCCTTTCCTGAATGAAGAAACTGCCAAGTGTTAACAGAGCAGTTTCTCAACATAAGAACAATGAAGTATTAATTGGAATTAGAAATGCTGGTGCTATTACTTTGTATGCCTTACTGTCTTTTCCACTTGTGTTGGTAAACTACTTGCAAAAGTAAAAAATACTTGCTAAAAATACTGCCCAAAGAATATTACTCATTCATCATATAAACTGAAACTCTTCCATAAACATACATCTTTCATACACACAATAATGAAAACCTTTTCTTTCATTCACTTACAGAATCTTCCGTTATGTCACTAGTTTCTCCTAGAAGCTTTGTACTTTTATCAACAACTGCAAGTCCAATTACTGATCCTGGTTCTTTCATACTGATTTTAAGGGAGACTTTCTCAGATGGCTTGACCTTATGCTTGCTCCAAGAGATTTTAATCTAGAAAAAAGTAAAAAACAGCACTGGTTTAAGTTATACACTGATATTTACAGCCACTAACAACTCTGAGGAAGCATTTTCTTAGCTTAATTCGCTACAATTAAGACTTTGGATTTGCTTTTCCTAGGACCTTTAGGAAAACACTACAGCATTCATTTTGCTCTCTTGCTCTCTTAACTCATCAGTTCCTTAGACTGGTGGGAAATTAGCATCAGGAGCAATCATCATTTCAACCAGCTTTTAGAATACAAGCAGCAATCTCTTGAGGCACAAGAATACACCAGTTTCTACAGTTGAGGGCAGTAAAAGAAACACAATCGCAGCTTACCAGTGCACAACACTGTATTTTTGAAAGATTATTTGTGGAGGCTTATTCAGGCCTCAAAGATTACAACTAAGCATTCCGCAGTGAAATCAAAACAGAAAAGGGGTAAAAGTAATAGGTGAATGGGTAATGAAGAAGGAAATAAATAGGATAATACAGCACCTGCCTTCTCCTGGGTACTCAAGAGAGGAACAGGGATATACTTAAAGTATTTCTAGTACTCCCTTCTCCACTGCACCAGATGACAATGCAGCATTTCTGTTTAAAATTAACAGTTTTATTCTCTTCATTCATCAAAACACGCCTACTACAAAGTCTTGAGGTGGAATTCAACTCCACACTTAAGTTACTTACATTTAGCTGTCCACGTTTCATTTCAGTGTTTAAGCTCCCATCACACAGTTAAAAGAAATAATGAAGACTAGAGAGCACTTTGGCTCATCACAAAGCATAAATCCAAGCAGTGGTGAAAAAAACAGTCCTGCAGGCTCCACTGACTCTACTGGTCGTGGGTGGGATTCAGTTACATAAACAATGACACTTAGTGCCATTTGAGACGTTCAAAGGTATCCAAGACATGTCCAGTGGTGCTGCCAGACAGGACACACAACTTACCCTTCTGGAGCAGGCATCAGGAGTCCAGGAAGAGTAACTTAAAACCACACTCTTTTTGGGCAACTGAATTTCTGTAAACTGAGTTCAGACACCCAACTCAGATACAGAGACAAAAGACTCAGTCACTTCAAGGTACAGTTGGGATGTCCCACAGCACACTGTCTGACCCTAAGCTCCCATTCCAGAAAGGGATAGGTCTGCGACAGGACCTTTGTAATACCCGCTTATCCCATGATGACATCTTGAATACCCAGTGGCCTCTTTGGAGGACACTAGATTTCTGTGCTTAAGCAATTGAATCCTGCCTCTACATGTAAATACATGAATTTAGATGTCTGAATCTACAGCCCCATCATACCCTTCCTCTGATAAATCTGCGGTATCTTCCAAGCACATTCAGTATCAAAATCACAGAGCAACAGCAAACACGCTAATGTTGCCAACATAAATGAGATTCGCTCCATGTGCTTCAGTGTAAATGGTCAACAGACTGATTCACACAGAAAAAATGGTTTGTTTCTAGGTAAACTGTGGCACTGCAGATCTGTATATTTGATTTTACCAACTCATTTGCAGAAATTAAATGCTTGGCAAGGCTACAAATTACAGAGAAAGTAGTTTTCCACAGTCCTGAGTTTATTTCAGTGTCGAAATGGCAAAATGTAGATAGCTTAAAATTGGAAAGCCTTTGAGAAAGTAGCTTTATCTTACTTTTTTTCTCTATTCAGTGAAATACAGAAAATACAGTAGGGTTAACATTAAATTCTCATGATTTATTGTCTCAATTGTTCATCTTCTCTGTATATACAGTAGGATCATGTTTTTCATCCAAAAACTACATTTAAACAAACTGGTATCAGACCTTACCTCATTTCTAAAAACATAATGCAATCTTACCTGTGGACACCGCAATTAGTGGAGAGATTTCAATTTGTGTCCAGAAGGCTGAACCAAATTGTTACACCTTCCTCATTAGCAGTACCTTCCTATAGCTACCCTAAAACTCCCAAGTCTCAACTGAATTCTTATTTGTTTTCTGTTTGTTCAGATTCTTCAGACAGTGGTACATAATAACCATAATCAACAAAAGTATGCCTGCAGCACTCTCACCATCCTGCCTTTCCACTTCCTTATCCTGTGATACCAATGCTCATAACCTGAGTTTGGATAAATCATGAAGTGAATGGATAAATTTTTCATGCAGGAGTAAGACAAACAGCCTCCCTTCCAATGTCTGCTTAGAAGCATTAAAGTTTCAATGGGGAGGAAGAATTTGAACCCATGAAGAGCCTTTCGGTGGTCTCACCTGTAAAATGTCACAGTGAGGCTTCTATTTGCACAAAGGACCAAATCTCACCCTGGTATGTAAGCTCAAAAAATCAATTCATTGCTGTTTTCCCACTCTTCTTCATGCATTTTTGAGTTAAAGTACGCACAGTCACATGAAACACAAACACTGATCACATCCACTGATGACACACCACATACAGTGTGACCACTGCCTGGCTAGAAAACAAAGTCTTCATCAGCGTTCATAGTTCCACACTTAGAAGACTTACAAGTACCTTTCCAGTATTATCTGCCAGAGCAACCTACAGCTCAGTAACTGACCAAACTATTAAAATAAAAGGAGATGCTGTGCATCTGTTTATGTGGAAAACACAGGGCTAGTAGATATTTCTTTCAGAAATTATCAAGTCTTTCCAAGGACTTACACAAACCTCAGATTAGATCCTCTATGAGGAAGTTTTTACATTTACAAGCCTATGATCTAAAATACCATTTATCATGCAACAGATAGACAAAAACATGGTCTTAGACTCAAGTTCCACATAGTTACCTTGTCATCCAACACAGGCTGAATGGGGACAGTGAGTGCATCATTTACAACCACTCCAAGCTCATCAACGTAGAATACAAGTATACATGCCGAAGGAGCCCAGGAATTCTCTGCTGTTAAAGTGAATGTGTTTGCAGCCTTTGTGCCAAAAGCCATAATTTGTTCCTTAGATAACACCTTAAAGGGAAAAATTAAACACACAATCTGTTGATATCTCAATATGTAGTAAACTTTGCAATTCCTTATACAAATAGCTGTTAAAAGAAGCAGCATATAGCTGTAATTTTTATTTTTTTTATTAAATTGTTGACCAGTTCTGTGAGACTGGGTATGGAACAGGCTAGTAATGTAATATTTAAATATTAGACATAGCTTTTTTCTGTGCTTTAATTTTGTATCACTATGGACAAGTAAAGAACTACAACGATGAGTGCACAGTATAACATATGCTATGAGAGCATAAAAATACAACAGTAATAGGACTGGGTCATCTGGGTCATCTATAATAGATTTGAATTTGGATCAGGAAGACATAGTAAAAGAAAATCTCCCGAACTCCCACACTTCCTATACTTTACACCAAGGAGAGTGTGAACTAGGGCCCACTAACGTGTTCCAGTTAAAAACAGGCATTTATCAGATTAGAGCTAGTCTGAAGGAACCTCAAAACACCTGGAGTTCAGGCCCACAGCATCAACTTTTTTAACGCTAAATCTGTTCCTACTGGGCCATTCCACTTACCAGTGAAGACAGAGCTATGAACGGCAGTTCCCTGCCCTTGACTGCATGGACCTGATTCTTTTTAAATTTTCTAGAGAGTGTTTCTATTTTAGAAAATACACCTGAATGCCCACATGTATACTGTCACACAGTTTTCCTTATTCAGTTTTCTATTAAAAAGTCTCTGAAAGAAAAAGAACTGTAGTTATCATGATCAAATAAAAGACAGACTAGGGACAAGGTGGACCCTCTCCGGAAGCTATCGGGAGAACTGGCTACCCTGGATTTGGAGAAGGCTGTGGTTCTCGATGACTTCTTTGCCTCTGTCTTCACTAGCAAATGCTCACACCACACCACCCAAGTCTTGGAAGGCAAACACAGGGACTGTGAGAATGAAGACCTTAGGCCCACTGCAGGAGAGGATCAGGTTCAAGACCACCTTAAGAACCTGAACGTGCACAAGTCCATGGGACCTGATGAAATCCATGCATGGGTCCTGAAGGAGGTGGCAAATGACGTTGCTCGGCCACTGTCCAACATATTTGAGAGCTCATGGCAGTCAGGTGAA